TTTAAATGGGTATCCCTATAGTTGGGATGCAGGTACGGCAGCTAGTGTGGAACCTAGGGCAGACTACTTAAATAGGCGACCAAAAGTTGCATGTATGGCTAGTCATACTCTCGTTAGTTAATAATCAAAGAGCTTAAATAGATAATCTCCTAGTTAGGTTGCAAGTATGGTGACTAGTGTAGAACCCAGATAGATCACTTAAATTAAGTACTAAAAGTACATGTGTGGCTTGATGTTGTTGTAACTGTATAACCTGAAGTTAATAATCTAATAAAAAGTTCCTGGCCATAGAGCTCACTTTAACACCTTAAAAAAAAAATAAATTATATATATATATTTTGATGCAATTTAATAGGCTAGTTATATATCAGGTGTGAGTAGGTAGAGATAGGTTTAAGAATTTTAATAGTACTTATAAATTATATAATTTCTAGAAGTCTCTCTACAGTATAAAATTAGTTTTAAGCAAAGTATTTTTTTACTATAGATTATTGCATTTAATACTAAAATCTAATAGAAAGTTTTAACTAACTTTATTAATACTTGAAGATAATATATATATAATATTTAAAAGTTTAGAGCATTATAATATAAGATCAAGAATTAACTAAATATAAATAAGAGTATCTCAAATAACTTTTTAAAAAAAGGTTTATTAGACTAAAGCAATTATACAAATATAATTATTAAAAATTTTATTATTAATACAATTAATTTTAAAAGATAGTAACTATGCTACAATAATTTTTATTTTTATCTTTTTTTTGAACTTCTAGTTTTTGCAATTATGCAATACATGTATAGACAAACAAAAAATTTTGAAACTACAGTTTTAATTTAAATTTTAATATAAGATATAAAAATGTATCAAGAAAGAACACTATTTTGCACAAAATGCATCAAAAATGTAACTTTTGTATTACTTTGCATAGACACTTAGGGTCTATTGCTATGCTCCAACCAATTATCTCTATTAAAGTTTTATCTAATTTAAATTATAGCTTTAAAAAAAATTAATAAAAAAAAGTAAATTTTAAAATTTTTGTTTTTAATCAACTATTAATCAAAACTATATCAAGTTTTATATCTTATAAAAAATATTTTCTGCTTTAATATTAAAATTTTACCAAATTTTGAATTAATAGATATTAAAATATTTTTTAAAAAAACAGATATATAGATTTCTTGAGAGAAGCTACACAGTTGGCTCACCCTATCTATATACCTGATTATAGCATCCCAAACAACTAAACTCTCTGCAAAAGTATCAATAATAAAAAAAGAGATATTCTATAAAGACTCTTACACAGAGCACTTCCCTGGGATATAGACTACAACACATATCACCAACAGAATTAGAATCATGCCTTTGGTGTGAGGATACTTTACAAACACCAGATCACTTTGACACAGAATATAGAATTAGCAAAACAATCTAGACAAATTTCTCAAAATATAACATATTCCTGAAATTTCTAGCACTATCACAGACATCTTTACAAAATCTAACATTATACAGAAGCATTATCACAAGACAATCCAATGGCTAAATACAGCAGCAATATACAAAATTTGGTACTGGTATACTAGTATCAAATGGGGAGAAAATGATAGACCAGAAACATCCATTCCAGCAATCATTAGTAGTCGGATTGAGAGAGAAATTAAGGCACTTAACCTTAACTCCCGAATAATCGTATAAATAGAAAAATATGTAAATACTTACACTGTAAATAGTTTGCTTATTAATTAAAGATAATAAAAACACGCCACACGTGTCCCGAAGACTATATATAGCGTGGGGAATTTAAAAAAAAAAGACACTTACTAATTTATCAAAACCCTAAAAATAAAGTCAAATAACTTGCTAAATATACAAGTATATAATCTAAAAATAATATGACATAATTATCAAGAAATAAGGATTCATATAAAAAAAATCAAGAATATAAATTAATTAGTAAATTTTTGAGTCATAAGCCAAGTTCTTAGGTGCCAGCAACACTAATTATAAACCAGGTCAATTCTAACCTAAAGGGCCAATTTTTGTCAGTAAAATTGGTTTATGCCAAAATAACTATGAAATAAGTTGTTGGTGAATAAGCTGTCTATTAAATAAACTTGTCTGTGAATTATTAATATACAGTACCATATAGAGGTGCGAAATTGCTGTCAACGAATTATACCAGATCCAGTTGCAAATAATTTAATTCTTGATAAAAAAAGGTGTCGGATATGTTTTATAAACAAAGAGACGATGCAGAATACATAAAATGACAGTCGATAATTGAATACAACACGAATGAAATAAATAAACACAAAGAAAAGAAGTGTAGTAATAGTACTATCGCTATGTGTGTTTAAGTAATCAGTGAAAAATGATAAGGCATGGCGGATGATCACGTCGACCAATCAGATATAAGATTTTGTAGACGTATGTACCATTTATTAAATAAGCCATACACTTTGGCGTTGTTTTTGGTATTACAATAACGATAAGCTACATAGCCGTTATTTGAATTCACTATGCAAAATGATCAAAACGCTGTTAAGGTTTTTGATGAGAAACTTTAAGCTATTTTTTTGATAGTGCTGAATTGCCAAAGCAGTATTAGCTTTATTATGTAATATCTATAAAAAAAAACCAATGTTTAAACGACTTACTACCCATACCAAACTTATTAAAAAATTTTATTACTTTTCACATACGCCAAAAACAAGTCGTTTATTGAAAAAATAATCGAATAAACTAGAGCTCAAGAACGCTAATACATGAAAATAAAGTGTAAAAACTTTTTTTAAGCAGAATTAATATCACTATATAATGTTATTCATTATAAGCATAATCTGGTTAGTTAATGAAACCGTCACGAAAAAGTGAACAATGAATCAACTCCACTAAAGATATTTAACGCATTCTAATAACTCATTATATTTTCGTTTATACAGTAACTAAAGTGCCTATTATTAGTACTAATCTATCTATGGATTCGTTTATTTAGAGCCACATTATGGACGAAGGTATGTGCATAGTATCTGGTTATTCAAAATAAGGATTGAGACATTAATATTGTTGACATAATTAAGAATAAATAAATAAATAATATAAAATTTTTTTAACATTGCCTTCTTAGCCGGAGTCAGTTCAATTCCCAAGTCTTTTAAAGTCAAAATTCCTTCCATATTCGAGACAACATTATCTTTCTTAAGCAATTTGATTTGATCACGTGTAATAGTAAACAAATTCTTTGTAACTTTTCAAGAAAGTAACCTTGTATAAGTCCAATTTGCCATTATAAAGAGAGAATTGGACGTTTTATTCCTGATTCAGATAATGTTAGTTGCATAAGTTCTTTGTACGTATATACTGATTTTTTAGGTGAAAAATTTTGAGAAGTGGAAAAATATAATTAATAACATTTAAATGATTGTATTTTCAATTTAACTTCTTATTACCTTTTGGGCCACCAATTTCAAAAACTTTTCCTTGAAACTTAAGAGATTGATTGTTTGCTTTAGCAGCAGCCATTGCCAAATCCCCTATATATACAGGTTGAAATTTTGTAGATCCACCACCGAAAACTGGCACGAATGGTAATAATCTAGCTAATTTTGAGAACCTCTGTTTGATTTATATATAAGTGAGGTGAATGTTAATTAACAGAGAAACAGTTAGTGATGTAGCCTATAAATAATATGTGCAAACATTATACATTAAAGAAATCATCTTCGGGTCCAAAAACAATGCTTGGTCTTATAATAGTTGCTATCAGATATATTTCGCATATTGCAACCTCAGCCAATCCTAAGTTTAAAAAAGAATTTAATATATTGATCATAAATTCTTAACTTCAAGCACATATCTCTAACCTTTAGTTCTAGCGTAAGGAACCTCGCTCTTAGGATCTGCACCAATAGCACTAATATGAATCAATTGTGCATCATTTTGCTTGGCAGCTACCGCAACATTTCTTGCACCTAAATGCTGCACGTTTTCAAAAGTATATTTTGGAGGGTTTTCATACATTATTGCAACTAAATTTACAATTATATTAGCTCCCCCACATGTTTTTAAGACTTCATCTTGAGAGGTTATGTCACATTTCATTGGTGGAAGGACTTGATTCTCTTTTTGAATTTAATTGTAATCTTTTTAAGAAAAAAACGATTATAAATTATAAAGAAAATTGTGAAATATAATTAATTACCTGGCAATTTTAGGTCATCGATTTTCGAATGTCGTGCACCCATTAGAATTGAAGTATTAACATCTTGAGCAAATGCTTTCGCTACATATTTTCAACAGGAGGAAACGTCCA